GCTGAGCAGTAGGAACGGTCAACTGTCAGCAAAGTTCAATATAGTCCGCACCTGTTCTGGATCACAAGTTGTGATACAATGTACACATCATGACGGGCGGATAGTGAGCTATAAAGTTTTAACGAGAATCCCAGCTGTTGGCCATTGTATTTGAGCGACAGATGAGGAATATTGAACTTTCCACCACCACCACCGCCTTGGAGACGAGTTTGGTTTTGAGACCAACACTTCCTCTCATCGTGTCAGCTGCACACGGAACTGTTTAAGATGAATTACTTGAATGTTGCAGACGATGAGTCACAATAACGTGGCTGAAGTATGTTGACCAGACCACACACTAGAAGGTGAAGGGACGACGACGTTTCGGTCCGTCCTGGACCATTCTCAAATCGATTGTGAATGGTCGACATGATAATGGTCCTGGATGGACCGAAACGTCGTCGTCCCTTCACCTTCTAGTGTGTGGTCTGGTCAACATACTTGAGTATTGTTTACAAAAAAAGGGAGGCTATGAACGATGCAATTTATGCCTTCATTAATTTTAAATAGTATTAAATGAAGAAGCTAAACAAATTAATCAGTCCACGCCTACGATATCACAGGTCCTGGCAGTCGAGCGGACGGCGCTCTGGCATCGTAGTCGTAAGAGCTACGATACCAGAGCTACTACTTGGCTTGATGCCTGCTCGAGGAAAAATCAAATGGACAGTTTCTTTCCGCCCTGATTCACCAGTTCACCTAGCAGTAAACAGGTACCTGGGAGTGAGACAGCTGCTACAGGCTGCTTCCTGGACATGTGTGTGTGTGTGTGTGTGTGTGTGTGTGTGTGTGTGTGTGTGTGTGTGTGTGTACTCACCTAGTTATGCTTGCGGGGGTTGAGCTCCGGCTCTTTGGTTCCGCCTGTCAACTGTCAATCAACAGGTGTACAGGTTCCTGAGCCTATTGGGCTCTATCATATCTACACTTGAAACTGTGTATGGAGTCAGCCTCCGCCACATCACTTCCTAATGCATTCCATTTGTCAACCACTCTCACACTAAAAAAGTTCTTTCTAATATCTATGTGGCTCATTTGGGCACTCAGTTTCCACCTGTGTCCCCTAGTGCGTGTGCCCCTTGTGTTAAACAGCCTGTCTTTATCAACCCTGTCGATTCCCTTGAGGATCTTGAATGTGGTGATCATGCCCCCCCTAACTCTTCTGTCTTCCAACGAAGTGAGGTTTAATTCGCGTAGTCTCTCCTCGTAGCTCATACCTCTCAGCTCGGGTACTAGTGTGGTGGCAAACCTTTGAACCTTTTCCATTTTAGTCTTATGCTTGACTAGATATGGACTCCATGCTGGAGCCGCATACTCCAGGATTGGTCTGATATATGTGGTATATAATGTTATGAAAGATTCCTTACATAAGTTTCTAAAGGCCGTTCTTATGTTAGCCAACCTGGCATATGCTGCTGCTGTTATCCTCTTGATATGAGCTTCAGGGGACAGGTCTGGCGTGATATCAACCCCCAGGTCTTTCTCTCTCTCTGACTCTTGAAGTATTTCATCTCCCAAATGGTACCATGTATCTGGTCTCCTGCTTCCTACCTCTATCTTCATTACATTACATTTGCTTGGGTTAAACTCTAACAGCCATTTGTTCGACCAATCCTGCAGCTTGTCCAGGTCTTCATGAAGCCTCAAGCTGTCCTCCTCTGTCTTAATCCTTCTCATAATTTTGGCGTCGTCAGCAAACATTGAGAGAAATGAGTCTATACCCTCTGGGAGATCATTTACGTATATCAGAAACAGGATAGGTCCAAGTAAAGAGCCCTGTGGGACTCCACTGGTGACTTCACGCCAGTCTGAGGTCTCACCCCTCACTGTAACTCTCTGCTTCCTTGTGTGTGTGTGGGGGGGGGGGGGTTGTTGTGTGTGTACTCACCTAAATGTCCTTGCAGGGTCAAGCTTGGCTGACGAACGTTCTTAGATGAACCCAAAAGCCAGCTTACCAGATACCAGTTTTGGAACGTCTTTCAAAACTCGATAAAACATTTCTTGTGTCATTAAATATATTTGTATTTTAATTACAGAATATTAATTACGATAATATCTAAATATCATCTGAAAGGAATTGTGACAGTGTTGGCCGCTAGATGACGCTACAATTGTACAATTAGTGCATGTTCGACCTGTTGACAATGAGTTGCACCCAATTACATAATTAATCCTTCGCAGGGAGATTAACTGTCGCTGAATTGTGTTCCTTAGTGATACAAGGACATACGAAAACCACAAGTTAATCACTGAAACCTAAAACGTGATTTAGAATTCAAATTTGAAAACATGCTTTCAAATTTGTTTCCCATATTGTTGTTCATTGGACAGCTGACATAAAAGTCATCTTCTTAGTCAATAATTATGGAGTAATTTCCTACATACTTGAGAACAAAATAATTTGATAGTATATATGTGTCATTGCAGTAATGGATTAATTAGTGCAATGACTCATTTCTCACTCTTACAGCAGATATACATTTAAAATTTTGAATCGAGTCATGTGTGCAACACGACCTCATAATGGCCCAGTACGGATCAAACACACACACAGTTTCAAGTGAAGATATGATAGAGCCCAGTAGGCTCAGGTACCTGTACACTTGTTGATAGACGGTTGAGAGGCGGGACCAAAGAGCCAGAGCTCAACCCCCGCAAGCACAACTAGGTGAGTACACACACACACACACACACACACACACACACACACACACACACACACACATACACACACACACACACACACACACTCACATATATATATATATATATATATATATATATATATATATATATATATATATGTATATATAATTTGAGCTACCTATGTGTATTTGGCCTATAATACACATAGGAGCTGTGTAGTGTAAGCCAAAATGACTTCTGCAGTTCCGTTAATACTTATGCTCAGGTGCGCCTGGGGGTGGGGGGGGGGGTTCTTGGCCCCAGCTTCACCCCCGAAGAAATCTCCTGAAGTAATGGGGGTCCTTTGAGAAGCCGCCTGCTTCCTGTCCCGGGCGAGGCCACTAGAGAGATAGTGGCCCTCAGGTAAATTAGGTCAATCAGGTATTCATGCTTGGGCTCGTTTTTTTGTTCTTTCCGTAATGACTTTTTCCGCTGGACTAAATGCTTGGACGGTTCGGTCTAACGGGGAGGTGGGCGAGGCTGGATGGGTCCGGCGGGGGCGTGGACGAGGCTGGTTGGGTCCGACGGGGACGTGGACGAGGCTGGTTGGGTCCGACGGGGGCGTGGGCGAGGCTGGTTGGGTCCGACGGGGGCGTGGACGAGGCTGGTTGGGTCCGACGGGGGCGTGGACGAGGCTGGTTGGGTCCGGCGGGGGCGTGGACGAGGCTGGTTGGGTCCGGCGGGGGCGTGGGCGAGGCTGGTTGGGTCCGACGGGGGCGTGGACGAGGCTGGTTGGGTCCGACGGGGGTGTGGGCGAGGCTGGTTGGGTCCGCGGGGACGTGAGCGAGGCTGGTTGGGTCCGGCGGGGGCGTGGGCGAGGCTGGTTGGGTCCGGCGGGGGCGTGGGCGAGGCTGGTTGGGTCCGACGGGGGCGTGGACGAGGCTGGTTGGGTCCGACGGGGGTGTGGGTGAGGCTAGTTCGGTCCGACGGGGGCGTTGGCGAGGCTGGTTGGGTCCGACGGGGGTGTGGGCGAGGCTGGTTGGGTCCGGCGGGGACGTGGGCGAGGCTGGTTGGGTCCGGCGGGGACGTGGGCGAGGCTGGTTGGGTCCGGCGGGGACGTGGGCGAGGCTGGTTGGGTCCGGCGGGGACGTGGGCGAGGCTGGCTCGGTCCGACGGGGGCGTGGGCGGGGCGAGGCAGAGTGCCTCTCAATATGCCATACTTCAATTCTTGAAAACTAGATTATTCTCTTTTTGATGATTACTGCTGAGATGATGATGATAGTGATGAGAAGGATGATGATTATAATGACAGTGACGGTCTTGATGATGATGATGCTGAGTCCACATACCAGTCCAGAGTATGAGGTTCATTTGTTCATCCACGACCAAGTTCATCATGGCAATTCCACGACCAAGAGATGGCTTCCTGAACCTTGCAGGAATCAACCTCACTGAGGACCAAGTCACTCTCCTAAATCTGGGTATAAACTGTCACATTATGTCCAGACCGAGTGAGATGGCCCGGAAAGTGGAGTTGGAGATTCTGTTGGACGACATATTCGACCTCGAAGCACAAAAGATGGTCACCACCAAAGATACCTTACAAGCAGAACTTATTGCGGAAGGAGGAAAGAATCGAGGCAACTACAGAAGCACCATACTGTCCCCCGAGCTCAAAGCTGCAGCTAAGAGCCTTCGTGAGAACAAGGAGATAGTTGTCAGGAGAGGCGACAAGTCGCCAATATACGTCATTCTTAAAAAAGACGAATATCTGGCGAAAATGAACCTCATACTCTCTGACCAAACTAAATTCCAAAGGGTAACGAAGGACACTACAGCCGAACTGAAAGCAAAGGTCAACAAATTGATCGAAACTGTGAACGCCAAAAAATCTGGACTCCACCTGCCAAAGATTATTGGGGAATATAAACCTGGATATGCGTATGGAAATGTCAAGACACACAAGCCTGGAAACCCACTTCGGCCAATCATCAGCCAGACACCCACACCCACGTACAGACTGGCGAAACGACTCAACGGCTTGCTGACTCCTTATGTCCCTTGCGCCTTCAGCCTGAAGTCTCCAAAGGAATTTGTTGACTTGCTGCGGGGGAACACGGGCTACAGGGATAAGAGCCTCGTTGGACGTAGAATCTCTGTTTACCAACGTACCTGTGGATGAAACAATCGAGATGATAGCTGACAGAGTGTACCGTGATGCGGCCTGTACTTCTCTTGACATACCAGAAAACAGTCTAAGGAAACTACTCCAAGCTTGTACTAAAGAGGCACCCTTCTTGAGCCCGGATGGACACACGTATAAGCAAGTAGATGGGGTCGCCATGGGTTCTCCCCTAGGTGTCCTGTTTGCAAACTTCTACATGGGTACCATCGAGCGAAAAGTCTTAGTTGACATGAACTTGAAACCGGCCATATACTGCAGGTATGTTGACGACATTTTTACACAGGTATCTGATGTCAGACATCTGCAGGAGCTGAAGGAGGCATTTGAGCAGAATTCTGTGTTGCGTTTCACTTACGAGATGGAGAAGGACAGAAAGCTGCCCTTTCTAGATGTAACAGTCATGGAAAGGAGCGGAGTTTTCCACACTGCAGTCTACACTAAGGAAACAAACATAGGAATGTGCCTGAATGCCAACAGTGACTGCCCGGACAGGTACAAGAGGAGTGTTGTTAACGCTTATGTCGACCGCGCCCTGAGCCACAGCTCAGAATGGAAGCAAGTCGACGAAGAACTCTGTAGGGTAAGGCAGGTCCTAGTCAACAACGGCTTCTCCAATGGTTTCGTGGAAGACATCATAAGAAGGAAAGTGCAACGCCATGCAACCTCTGAAGAAACAACTAACACAACACCTATACCCACTATTAGACTATTTTACAGGAACTTCTTTTCCACAGCCCATAAAACGGAGGAAAGGGTCCTGAAAGATATTGTTAGTAGAAACGTTATCCCTACAGACAAAAATCAGAAGATACAACTGACGATTTACTATAAAACCAGAAAAACGTGGGTCTACTCATGAGCCTACTCATGAGAAACTCTCCAGACACAAAGCACAACGCTTTAAAAGAGACCAACGTCGTCTATGCCTTCAAATGCCCTCTTGGGGACTGTAAGCCTCAAAAAAACCCAATATATATGCAAGACAACATCATCTCTTTCCAGGCGTTTAACGATGCATAAGCAACAGGGCTCCATTAAGGAAAATATAATCTCTTCCCACAAACAAACCATCACCAGAGAAATCTTAGCAAACAACACAGAAATCATCGATAGATACAGCGATAGCAGACGGCTTGACGTCTGCGAGGCACTACACATCAAGAAGTCAACACCAGCAATCAACAGCCAATTAATGCACAACTATATTCTACCCACTTCAAGACTCCGCTCCAATATAGAAGCATCAAGAAATATGGACCAATAGGCTTTCTACAATTACTTCCATTCAATACCCATTGTTTCGTGTTCTGTCTTGTGTTTGAATTTAATACCCATTCAATACCCATTGTTTCGTGTTCTGTCTTGTGTTTGAATTTAATACCCATTCAATACCCATTGTTGAGAGTTTGTTGTCAACTCATCCACCTCACCCAAATGTAGATATAAACTCGAAGATGTGTAAGCTCTATTCAGTTTCAGTTGTGTGTTTGTAAACTAAAGTCTTTGAAAATGTAATAAGTTTTACGAAACGCGCTCAAGTGTCGCGTCAGACTAGAAATAAAAATAAATTTTGGAGAATTGATCTTTGAATTACCATCAACAGTGAAAAGAAATGTTAGAAACATAGAGAAAATTCGTGTTAGAATTATTAATCTTACTTTTTCGGTCATATTTAATAATATATATATATATATATATATATATATATATATATATATATATATATATATATATATATATATATATATATATATATATATATATATATATATATATATATATATATATGCGAACAAGCCTGAATATATATATATATATATATATATATATATATATATATATATATATATATATATATATATATATATATATGTATTTATATACATATATATGTATTTATATACGCCAGGAAAATTTGTTGACGCGACAGCGTGCGGGCTTCCCACTAATATACTGCCCTAATACTCCTTAAATCTTTTTCTTAACGCCTAAACTTTTGTCGTTCGTGGTATTAATGTCCACGTGCGGTAAAAATATTTCCCCACTGTGTATAAACTCTACGGGAATGAACGCATTCCTGCAAAATCAGGTTTGGCCGCTTAGTTTACAATGTTTTGTTACTAATGTGTTTATGATCCATTAGTTCATCACATTTAGGTTACCTTATATCTCACAGTCTTTCACTATAAGAAGATTTAGATTTTTTTTTATATAATGTGTTGAGTATGTACGTTAAATACTTTCACGGCTGGAGTGAGGAATTTAATCTGTTGTAATTACAGGGTCAACAACTAAACAAATGACTTGCGCAACAAATTAATTGCATCTGAAATCGTTGTTTGTGTGTGTGTGTATGTGTGTAAGTACCGTGTGTGTATGTGTTCGCGTGTGTAGGTGATCCTGTGCGTCTGTGTATGTGTCTGAGTCCGTGTGTTGAAGTGTCTCTAAGTGTAATTGTCCTTGTCCGTTTATTTCTACGTTAATGTGTGTGTTCATTCACTTTGTAGAATATGTGTGTGTGTTTGTGTGTCGTGAGGTCCTGTGTAGGAAGGAGTCCCTGTGTGAGGTCGTACATCAACCCGTCCTCCTAAAAGAACGTCGCATTTTGACGTATACTCTACCTAAGGCCAAAAATTGTCATACTAGAAAATGAAAGCTGCTTACGAAATTGACATGCTGTAGAGTACTTTAGTACGACAATTTCACGACGTTTGGAAACATTTGGAGGACGGGCTGCGTACTTACCAATTAGTAACTATACTGGGACGGAAGGGCGAAGGGCCAGAGCTCTGTCGTCCAGTAGTGGGGGAATTGTGTGAGACTCCGGTTTCACACAAATGTACATTTTATTCACTTTCATTTAACATTTTCTTCTGTCCTCCATGGACAGGGTTAAAGATCTGTTAAACATATAGGTCAGTGATTTATTGAATAATCAGCCACAGAAGGTGATTGTAGTGCTTTTAAAATGCTAATCTGATCTACATACATAAATACACATGGATGAACTGTGGCAATTACATCCTACATAGTGTGTGTGTTGGAGATATGTATGAAGTTGGTGTAATAAAAAAATCCTTTACATTAGGCAACCGTCGGTTAGAAAGGCGGGGTCCCAGAGCTAACAGCTGGAACCTGCAGGTACAAATAGTAATTACACACACAAATGGATCATCGCAGCTGATTGGACAACGTTCGGGATTCGCAATCCACGAAAATGGGATCGAATCCAGACCAAGACAGAAACCAAATGGATAGAAATCCTTTCACCTGATGTTTGTGTTCACCTCGTACTAAATAAGAGTCTGAGGTCTAGTCAGATATCACGAGCCGCATCCTGGGTATATATGTGAATGAGCGTGCGTGTGAGAAAGAGATATATACTCGAAATGACTGAGAAAATTTGTTATGTGTCAATACATTACAGAACCAAAGGTTGTATATTTGGAGCGGTCCAAGAGGTAGCATTCTGTGATCACAAATAGTAAGTGCAAATAATAAAATAAACACACACATACACACACACGAGTGTGTGTGTGTGTGTGTGTGTCAACCACTCTCGAGGCCTGAGGGGCCTCGTAGCCTGGTGGATAGCGCGCAGGATTCGTAATTCTGTGGCGCGGGTTCGATTCCCGCATGAGGCAGAAACAAATGGACAAAGTTTCTTTCACCCTGAATGCCCCTGTTACCTAGCAGTAAATAGGTACCTGGGAGTTAGTCAGCTGTCACGGGCTGCTTCCTGGGGTGTGTGTGTGGTGTGGAAAAAAAAATAAAATAAAAAAATAAAAATAGTTAGTAAACAGTTGATTGACAGTTGAGAGGCGGGCCGAAAGAGCAAAGCTCAACCCCCATAAAAACACAACTAGTAAACACACACACACACACACACACACACACACACACACACACACACACACACACACAAATGAATGATCTGTAAATGATCTTCCAGAGGGTATAGAATCGTTTCTCTCAATGTTTGCCGATGATGCAAAAATTATGAGGAGGATTGAAACTGAGGACGATAGTAGGAGGCTACAAGATGACCTAGACAGACTGAGTGAATGGTCCAACAAATGGCTGTTGAAGTTCAACCCGAGTAAATGCAAAGTAATGAAACTAGGTGGTGGAAATAGGAGGCCAAACACAGGATACAGAATAGGAGAGTAAGTACTTAATGAAACGAACAGAGAGAAAGATCTAGGAGTTGATATCACACCAAACCTGTCTCCTGAAGCCCACATAAAAAGAATAACGTCTGCGGCATATGCGAGGCTGGCTAACATCAGAACAGCGTTCAGGAACCTGTGTAAGGAATCATTCAGAATCTTGTACACCACATATGTAAGACCAATCCTGGAGTATGCGGCCCCAGCATGGAGCCCGTACCTTGTCAAGCACAAGACGAAGCTGGAAAAAGTCCAAAGGTATGCCACTAGACTAGTCCCAGAACTAAGAGGCATGAGTTACGAGGAAAGGCTGCGGGAAATGCACCTTACGACACTGGAAGACAGAAGAGTAAGGGGAGACATGATCACAACCTACAAAAACCTCAGAGGAATCGACCGGGTAAACAAGGATAAACTATTCAACACTGGTGGGACGCGAACAAGGGGACACAGGTGGAAACTGAGTACCCACATGAGCCACAGAGACGTTAGAAGGAACTTTTTCAGTGTCAGAGTAGTTAACGGATGGAATGCATTAGGCAGTGATGTGGTGGAGGCTGACTCCATACACAGTTTTAAATGTAGATATGATAGAGCCCAGTAGGCTCAGGAATCTGTACACCAGTTGAGAGGCGGGACCAAAGAGCCAAAGCTCAACCCCCGCAAGCACAAATAGGTGAGTACAAATAGGTGAGTACACACACACAAACACACTCACACACACTTAGGTGAGTACACAGCGGCATATGCCAGGCTGGCCAACATACGAACGGCATTCAGAAATTTGTGTAAAGAATCATTCAGAACTTTGTATACCACATATGTCAGGCCAATTCTGGAGTATGCAGCCCCAGCATGGTGTCCATATCTAGTCAAGGATAAGACTAAACTGGAAAAGGTTCAAAGATTTGCCACCAGACTAGTACCCGAGCTAAGAGGTATGAGCTACGAGGAGAGACTGCGGGAATTGAACCTCACTTCGCTGGAAGACAGAAGAGTTAGGGGGGACATGATCACTACATTCAAGATTCTCAAGGGAATTGATAGGGTAGATAAAGACAGGCTATTTAACACAAGGGGCACACGCACAAGGGGACACAGGTGGAAACTGAGCGCCCAAATGAGCCACAGAGATATTAGAAAGAACTTTTTTAGTGTGAGAGTGGTTGACAAATGGAATGCATTAGGAAGTGATGTGGTGGAGGCTGACTCCATACACAGTTTCAAGTGTAGATATGATAGAGCCCAATAGGCTCAGGAATCTGTATGCCTGTTGATTGACGATTGAGAGGCGGGACCAAAGAGCCAGAGCTCAACCCCCGCAAGCACAACTAGGTGAGTACAACTAGGTGAGTATACACACACACACACACCACACGGACCACCACTTCAGGTGGTGGTCCATGTGGCCCCGTGGTGGTCCGTGTGGCCCGGTGGTGGTCCGTGTTGCCCGGTGGTGGTCCGTGTGGTCCGCTGGTGGTCCGTGTGGCCCGGTGGTGGTCCGTGTGGCCCGGTGATATTCCGTGAGGCCCGGTGGTAGTCCGTGTGGCCCGGTGGTGGTCCGTGTGGCCCAGTGGTGGTCCGTGTGGCCCGGTGGTGGTCCGTGTGGCCCGGTGGTGGTCCGTGTGGCCCGGTGGTGGTCCGTGTGGCCCGGTGGTGGTCCGTGTGGTCCGGTGGTGGTACGTGTGGCCCGGTGGTGGTCCGTGTGGCCCGGTGGTGGTCCGTGTGGCCCGGTGATGGTCCGTGTGGCCCGGTGGTGGTCCGTGTGACTCGGTGGTGGTCCGTGTGGCCCGGTGGTGGTCCGTGTGGCCCGGTGGGGGGTCCACGTGGCCCGGTGGTGGCCATGTGGCCCAAATGATGGTCCGTGTGGCCCAATGGTAGTCCATGTGGCCCCGTGGTGGTCCGTATGGCCCGGTGGTGGTCCATGTGGCCCGGTGGGGGTCTATGTGACCCGGTGGTGGTCCATGTGGCCCAATGGTAGTCCGTGTGGCCCAATGGTGGTCCGTGTGGCCTGGTGGTGGTCCGAGTAGCCCGGGCAGGCGGCCGCACCCGATCTGTCAACCACAGACTCACTCCAATTAATTTCTCTTTCACAAGAAATTCCTCACGTGAATCTCGGCAGCCATCATGCTCCAGGAGACTCTTACACATTAATTTCAAATGCTTATCACATTACCAGAGTCTATTGGTGTGTGTGTGTGTGTGTGTGTGTGTGTGTGTGTGTGTGTGTGTGTGTGTGTGTGTGTACTCACCTAGTTGTGTTTGCGGGGGTTGAGCTCTGGCTGTTTGGTCCCGCCTTGTGTGTGTGTGTGTGTGTGTGTGTGTTTACTAGTTGTGTTTTTGCGGGGGTTGAGTTTTGCTCTTTCGGCCCGCCTCTCAACTGTCAATCAACTGTTTACTAACTACTTTTTTTTTTCCCCACACCACACCACACACACACACACACACACACACACCAGGAAGAAGCCCGTGACAGCTGACTAACTCCCAGGTACCTATTTACTGCTAGGTAACAGGGGCACTTAGGGGTGAAAGAAATTTTGCCCATTTGTTTCTGCCTCGTGCGGGAATCGAACCCGCGTCACAGAATTACGAGTCCTGCGCGCTATCCACCAGGCTACGAGGCCCCCTACGAGGCCCCACACACACACACTGTGTGTGTGTGTGTGTGTGTGTGTGTGTGTGTGTGTGTGTGTGTGTGTGTGTGTGTGTGTGTGTGTGTGTGTGTGTTCTTAAACTATGTATTTCCTGTGGGTTTTTGTAATTACCGACGTGACGGTATGGTTGTTGGTCAGACTGACGCCAAAATGCGTGTCATAATATTGGGAATTTTGGGGGTTAGTGTGTCGAACTTGTTCGTTTCGTGTAAGTGTAGCTACTGTTTGGTAGTCATGTGTTATATCTCTCAGGAAGTCACATGTTGCACCTTTTGCATCACACCATCATTCTCCCTCACACTGCCTCACACCATCACTCTCCCTCACACTGCCTCACACCATCACTCTCCCTCACACTGCCTCACACCATCACCCTCCCTCACACCATCACTCTCCCACACACTGCCACACACCATCACTCTCCCTCACACTGCCTCACACCATCACTCTCCTTCACACTGCCTCACACCATCATTCTCCCTCACACTGCCTCACACCATCACCCTCCTTCATACTACCTCACACCATCACTCTCCCTCACACTGCCTCATACCATCACTCTCCCTCACACTGCTTCACACCATCACCTTCTCTAACACCATCACCCTCCCTCACACTGTCTCACACTACCTCACACCATCACCCTCTCTCACACTCGCCCCGTCCTCTTGGCCGACTCCTGAGATAAATGATGCCACATAATTCCCCCGCCCTCTCGCCAGGCAGGGAAGATAAAGAATGTTGGGGAAGACGGAAGCCGGTGATGGTGGCGGGGGTGTAGGGTGAGGGCAGGGAGGGTCTCCCTGCAAATGTTTGTTATGTAAGGTGACAGAGTTTAAGGGTGAGTGCGTGTTGAGTGTATCGCTGGGAATGTGTGTACAGATGACTGAATGTACTGGCAAGTTGAGGTGGATGAGAATTTAGTGGCGGAGAACTATTATAATGAAAGTGCCTGGGGGATGAATCAGGATGAGCTATAATGCATAGGACACATTATCACAGTGGAAGTAAGGTCTATAAGGGTGCAGGAGAGAGAGGGGTGGTCTGACTGTATCTTCCGGTACTGCTGGAAAGTTTTCGATACTGTTTCATGCAAATGAAAAACCTTTGATGTTTTTGGCAATATAAGAAACTTGGTGAAAGCTTCTCTGTCGAATAATGTGACAGTGTGTGTGTGTATGCGTGAGTTCCAATGTGTGAGTACACTAGATACAGAATCCGTGCTGGAGCTGCATACTCTAGGATTAGGCTGACACATGTAGTTTACAAACTTCTAAATAATTTCTCACACAAAATCCCAAAGGCTGCTCTGTAATTTGTCAGGCTAGCATATGCCGCTGATGATATCGTTTTGATGTGGGCTTCAGGGGTAGGTCGCTCTGTTGGGATATCAATGCCTAGATCTCTCTCTCTCTCTGATTCTTGAAGGATTTCATCACCCAGATGGTGCTTTTTTGTCCGGCCTCCTGCTCTCTGCACCTATATTCATTATGCTAAACTTGCTTGTTTAACATAAGGGCTCATATAGTCCTTATTGAACCATTCCTTCAGTTTTTAATCCATCTCATATTTTTATCATCTTTAGCAAACATTGAGACGAATGAGTCTATGGTTCTTGGAAGTTAATTTACAGATACCAGAAACAGGATTGGGCCAAACACAGAGCCCTGTGGGTCTCCACTGGTGACGCTATTCTGAGGTCTCACCTCTCACAGTGACACTCTGTTTTTTGTTGCTTAGGTACTCCATTATCCTCTGGAGCATCTTACCAGTTACTGCTGCCGGTTTCTTCAACTTATGCACCGACCTCTTATAGGGTTACTGAGTCAAAGGCTTCCTGACCGTAAAACAAAAATGCAATCTCCTCACCCTTCACTTTCTTGCTTAATTTTGGTCACCTGGTCGGAGAATTTGATTGAATCCGTGAGGCAAGATTTGCCATCTCAGGACCATGTTGGTGGTGTTACAATGTATCTAATTCTCTCCAGATGTGTTACTAGATTTTTCTCACGATCTTCACAATCACCGTGCATGGTATGCAGGCTAGGGACACTGGCCTGTAGGTCAGTGACTCTTACTTGTTACCTTTTTTTGTATATTGGGACTACATTAGCTGTCTTCCAGCTTTCCGGTAGGTCTCCTGTTTCCAGTGACTTATTTTACACCATGGAGTGTGGCAAGTAAAGTACTTCTGCACACTCTTTCAGTATCCATGGAGAGATTCCGTCAGGTGTGTGTGAGTGTGTATATTCACTCTTATTTGTTCTCACATATTTGTGCATATAGGATCGAGATTTAGCTCTTGGACCCCTACTTTCTTGCCCCTCTTTTTCTAATGCAATGTCTTGTAACTAATTTTCCTATCACATCCATTTTTATAATTGTGAATGGAGTTCGCTTCTACAACCTGCCCTATAGATCATTTAGATGTCCACACTATTCTTACACAAAACAAAACATTCTAACATCTCTATTGCTAAGCATTTTAAATGTATCGATCACGTCTTCCCTCTTTGTTAGCGTTACTAGGATTAGTTCTTTCAATCTCTCTTCATTCCTCATCTCACGCATTTCTGGGACGAGACTCTTTGCAAACTTCTGAACCCTTTCGAGTTTTATTATGCATTTTTTTTAATGGGGCTGCATATTCCAAAACTGGTCTCGTGTAGGCCCTGTAAAGCAATCTAAATGTCTCCTTAATTAGGTTCCTGAATGATGTTCTGACTTTTGCTAATGTAGAGTATGCTGCTGTCGTTTTCCCATTTATATAAGCCTCCGGACTTAAGAGGTATTATGTACAATCTTCTGAGGCCTTTTTCAGCAGCCAAGGTGATATTAAGTCTGGCACTATTGATTCTGTAACTTCTTCTGCAAGGACCACTATGTCATCTAGTGTTTCCTCTTGCCGTTCATCACTTACCTTTGGTCTCCACGTTGGTGCCTTTGTAAAAACCTCTTGAAATCTTTTGTTGGGTTGTAACGTATCGAAAAATGAAGGAAGGGTGAGAGAGGTAGAGAGGTGGGAAGGGAGTAAATGAAGAAGAGTGGTCAGGGGAAAGGGAAAGTTTAGAATGAGAGGGAGAGAAGGAGATCAAGGCGGAAAGTAGATGAGTAGAAAGTAAGAGTGCTAGAATAGTAGAAAAATAGCAGGTGGCTGCCTCCATCCATTGAAGTTAATTATTTATAAGTCAAGGAATGAAACTTGTCTGCACAACAATATCATCTGGTGTTATCATATACCCACTCTACGAATATAACTCATATAACCAAGAATTTTTAAGTCATAATCTTAAGCCAGTAAACTTCAGAGTGCTCTACACTCTAGCTTCCAATATATCAGATACAATCCAAGATCTAGGTATCAAAATAAAAGACAATTTAAAAAGTTAATAAATTATATAATGCCTTTTAGATCTTCACTCATATGAATATCATAAATTAACCATATCAGTTGATGTTAAAAGTCAACATTAATGCACAATTTGAGTCACCACACAAGAAATTGAGAGCACCTACGGCTGACTGCTCGGCCCTGAGAATCACACAACACCTAAGTTGAAATCACAATATACGCCACCTTTCAAGTTCACTCACCAAAGTCTCTGAGACTAAGTTTGGCAGAAAGGAAGAGGGGGGGAAGCTCACTGAGTCCCCACCCGGCCTGGAATGGCCTAGTCTGGCTGCAGGAACCTCTCTCTCTCTGATGCAGCGCTCTAGTTATCGCTGTCCTCCTCAATGTCCCATATGTACAGTTCCATGGGTATTTATGGGGGAACCGGGAGCTAAGCTCCGCGTACCCAGGAGATAGCCTCTGACTCTCTGCCTACCACACCTATACAGTGGCTTGTTTGAAAGAAACAACACAACCATCCGTCTGCAATTATCAACTTAGCAGAAGCGAAGTCACCTGATGCGACCTTACCTCTACTCACCCTGTGAACATTAAATCTCTAAAGGTGGGGCTTCTTAATTGCTAAGGGCCGACTGTCTGACGACACCAATATCCTGTGTGTCTTGACTCTCGTTTTATGTTAAATATTAAACAATACACATTTGTGGTGTTACAGATTTTCTCACACAACTCCTTGTCGTCCTCGAGATTTGCCCCTTGCCCTCTTAACCTCATATCATGATCTCTTATTGTTGCTTTTCGTCTTATATGGCTATAAAAATAGCTTCAGTTGGTCTTTGGCTTTAGCTGTAATGTCGTTTTCAAACTGTCTTTCAGGTTCCCTCCTGTCTCTGGTGTGTTTGTTGCTGGCTCTCATAAGGGCATCTATATTCTCCTCTGTCCCTAGCTCTCTGTGTTTTGTCCATGCTTCTTTGGTCTTCTTCTTTGCTCCTCTGCGCTGCCTATTCAACCAGGAGTTTACTTTCGCGCTCTCGTCCACCTGCTTCTTCAGCGAGATGCACAGCTCCGTTGCATCTGTACCTTTCTGAGCAAGAACTTGCATTATCTCATTTGTCGT